AGCTAGCTGTCAGCACAGAGCCTAACATGGAGCTTAAAACCATGAACAGTGAGATCATGACCTGAGCCGAAGTCAGATGCTTAACTGACTGAGCCACCCAGGCTCCCCAGAATATCCCCTAATTAGGCCTTCATCACCTCTGGCTCAAACCATCACTGGAAGCTACAGTGATAGAATAATCTTTCTAACCTGTAAGTATGTCCCATCACTTACCAAGTAGCCATTGCCAATGGCTTCCCCATCACCTAAGGGTAAAACCAAGTTCCTTGGCATATGAGGTCCTCTCAGATCTGGTCCATGTCTATATCTCTAGAGCTTGGACTCTGAGGTCAGAAAGACCTTATCTTTGTCTCAGATTTTTCATGCATTAGATATATGACCTTGGGCAACTACTTAGTTGTCTCATTTGAAAAATGGGGCAACCATTGAGGTTTTGGGAAGATTGATGGATTGATAAAAATTAAACAATTTAGCATTTTGGTTGACCAAAAATAAGTACAAAATAAGTGTTAAATTGTTAAATTGTGGTAGTGGTCAAAGAAAAATCAAATAAATGGAGGGATAGTTCATATTCATGGATAGGAAAACTTAATACTGCCAAGATATCAGTTCTTCCCAACTTAATCTATAGATTCAATGTGCTCCCTACCAAAATCTTACAAGTTGTTTTCTTGATTCTAAAGAATCTCAACAAACTGATTCTAAAATTTATATGGAGAAGCTAAAGACCTAGAATAGTCAACATAATTTTGAAGGAGTACAAAGTTGGAGGATTGACACTGCCTGACTTCAAGACTCACTATAAGAGCTCGAGTAATTAGGACGGTGTGGTATTGGTGAAAGAATAGACATATAGATCAATGAAACAGAATACAGAGCCCAGAAATAAACCCAAATATTTATTTTAGTCTTTGACAAAAGTATAAAGATAAATACGATGGAGCAGACAGTCTTCTCACCCCATAGTGGTAGAACAACTGGACATCCAACATGGAAGAAAATGAACGTAGACACAGACCTTGCACCCTTTACAAAAATTAACATCAATCACCCCACGCAAATTTAAAATTTGGGTAAAACTATAAATTTCTGCTCTGCAATAAACATTGTCAGGAGAATGAAAAGATAAGCCACAGACTGGGAGAAGATGTTTGCAAAAGACACATGTCATAAAGGACTGTTACCATAAATACAAAGAACCCTTAAAGCCCCACAATAAGGAAAGAAACAAACCAATTCAATATGGACCAAAGACCTTAACAGACACCTCATCAAAGAAGACATACAGATGGCAAATAAGCATATGAAAAGATGCTCCACCTCATATGTCATCGGAAAAATATAAATTGAAACAACAATAAGATATCACCGCACACTCATTAGAATGGCCAAAATCTGGAACCAGGACAGCATGCAGCACCCTGAATGCTGGTGTGGATGTAGAGCAACACGAACTCTCGCTCATCACTAGTGGGAATGCAAAATGGTACCACCACTTTGGAAAATAGTTTAGCAGATTCTTACCAAGCTAAACATACTCTGACTATACAACCCAGCAGCCACACTATTTGGTTATTTACATAAGGACACTGAAAACTTATCTTCACACAAAAATCTGCATACGATGTTTATAGTAGCTTTATTTATTATTGCCAAAACTTAGAAGGCACCAAGATGCCCTTCAGTAGATGAAAGGATAAATCAACTGTGGTACATCCAGAGAATAGAATATTATTCAGCATTAAAAAGAAATGAGTTATCAAGCCATGAAAAGACACAGATGGAACATAAATACATATTACTAGGCAAGAGAAGACAATATAAAAAGGCTATATACTGTAAGATTCCAACTCTATGACATTCTGGAAAAGGCAAAACTATGGAAATGGTAAAAATATCAGTGGTTGCCATGGGTTTGGGATGAATAGGCAGAGCATAGAGAATTTTTAGGGCAGTGAAGATATTCTTCTGTATGATACTAGAATGATGGATACAGGTCATACATTTGTTCAAACTTATAGAATATACAACCCCAAAAGTGAAACCTAATGTAAACTCTGGGCTTTGGGTAATGATGTCAGTGTAGCTTCATCAGTTGTAACAAATGTACCACATAGGGGATGTTGTTGATACTGAGGGAGCTGTGCATATGGGGGGACAGTGGGATAGGACCTCTGTTCTTTCCTCTCAATTTTACTGTGAACCTAAAAATACTCTAAAAAAAAAATAAAACCTCTTAAGAAAAAAGTTACAGTACTGGCAATAATGATTATAGCCATAATAGTAGTACCGGTGGTGGTGGTGGTGTGATTACTAGTATCCTTTTCCTTAATAGGTTCTGTTTCTTCCTTTACCAAAATCTTGACATTCCCTGAAAACATAGCACTTTTCTTATTTAAATGACTCCATGTCTTTTCATTTTTGTTCGCTCTAGAATGCCTTCTCCTGCTACCCCTACACCTTGTCCCCCACAAAAACTTCTCTTCATTTACATTCAAGTTTTAGAGGAAACTTCAACACCCAAATGAAGCTGTCTTCAACTCTCCCAGGTGGACTTTCGTATCTGTTTCTTCAGACTCCTACTGCCTCCTTTTTCATACCGACACTCTGGCAGTGATCTCATTGCACCATAATTGTTTGCAGTCCTGTCTCTTCGATATTCAGAATGATGAAGAAAGCCAGCCGCTGTTCACTGCCTTGAATATAATGCCTAGCATGGCACCAGGATACAGTAGCTGCTCAGTAGTCACTAATTCAATGATTGCATTAAAGAGGTTGTCGTGTTAATAGAGAAGCACAATATATACACAATATAAATATAACAAATATTTACACAATTGGTCAAGAACAGAATCATTTTTGATAGAGAAGCATGGCACCCATCTTTACCCTACATGCTGCTACTTCCATGAAGCTTTTTCCTGACACCTTCAGGTATCACCTGTGTCACTGTTAGTAACATTCTGAATGGCACAGGATCATACATTATCCTATAATCATTATTTAATTTCATTCTGATGTTTGTTTTTTCCCCAAAAGACTGAAGCTTCCTTAAGATAAGGATCCTCCTGTGTTCCATGTGATCTCATATGCTGGTAGCTCACTAGGACAGGCACTTGGGGGCTGCCCCCTAGAGACACCAGAATGCAGACGGCATCATGAGGCCAGGCCAGTTCCGGACAATAGTGCTGAAAGTATTACCTTGTAGTTTTGTGGCCATAAGAAGAAAAGTTACTTGTAAATGTCTAGAGCCATACTAGGGATACATAAGCATAATGTGCTCCAACAGTCACAATTAAATAATCTTCAGCATTGTTCTGCTATTCATGCTAATTCTTCCTCCATAAAAAATACTGGTTAAAAACAAAACAAACCTTAGATACAAGTGGCTGAGGACAATAATTGCATCCTTCCCTTCTTTTGCTGTACCATTTATCCTGTTTGTCTGACGCCATCCCTGTTTCTGATGTTTGTTAGAAAGAACGGTAGTTTAAATCAGGGCTTTTATTCTCATGCGGAGAATTCTCAGTCTCTCTGTAGTTGTTTCTAAGTTTGTAGGTGCAATCGTCATCCTTACCGAGGAGATTCACTGGGCTGTTGGCCTCTCAGACAGTTCCGGCCACTCCTGTTCCATGTATTAGTGAAATATGAAGAGGTTTTGCAGGACACACTCTGAAGAGCCTCCTGTAATAATCTGACACCAGGAATAGCCTTTCTTACTCTAAATGAGTGTGTATACTTGCTTTGCAACTCCTCCCACAATAAACCCTCCCTATGCACACCACCCAAGCTGGGATGGAGGTTTTAAAGAGAGTTAGAACTTTTGGTGGGAAGAAAAGAACTTGTAAGCTGAGTACTACCTAGAAAAATCTCCCCTACTGACTTGACAGCATTACTTCCTGTTTACTAGCAGACTCTCCCGTCCCCCATTATAATGGTCCAGGTGTTCTGTTTACCCTTCCCATGCACACTATGTGAGGGCTAGCCCAGCACAAGAGCAAGCACATACGTTATCCATAAAACCACATACGTTGACATGAACAGGTGATGGATTGATCAGTCAACAAGTACTTCTAAATACGTGTATGTGTTCATCCTGGTTTTGATTGGTATGATAGATGCAGAAAGATCATGTATAAAATCTTCACATTCACAGAACTAAACACTTTGTTGAGAACACCCTGAGGCCAGTCAGTGCTCCTCAGATTCTCAGAGGTTGAAGGAGGAGACCCAGAGAAGGGAACACAGGAAGTACATAGAAAGGGGGAAAAACATAATAAAGACCAACCCTAGATGGAAAAGAGTTAATGACTTCTCTGTGGTAGTTGCTAAGGGAGAGAGAAGGCTTTGTGGAAGCTGTGGAGTAGATATTTGTTTGTTATCAGCCCCTGTTAGTAAAGAAAAGTTTCATGGAAAAGGTACTTTCAAAAAATATCGTCCTTGTCACAGCCAAGAGCTGCCTAAGGAGACCTGACAACTAACTGTAACACAGGGTGCTGGAACAGGAAGGGCTTGGGGTAAAAATCCAAATCAACTATGAGCTTTAGTGAACAGTAATGTATTGATTCATTAATTGTAAGATCTGTATCATACTGATGTGAGATGTTAGTAATAGGGAAAGTGAGTTCAGAGTGAATGGGACCTCTGTACTGTCTTCTCAATTTTTCTCTAAGTCTAAAACCGTTCTAAACACTAAAACCCATGTAAATGGCGGGGTAGGGGGGAGGGACGGAACGGCCTACAGAATATCCCTGGCTTGGTGACAGGAAGGAGTCGGTTTGACAATGACCCTTTTTGAAAGAAGCGACTTTGTTGTTAAATGCCATGTTTGTGGCTTGATCATCAATTCCTATAGCAATACTGAGCTCTTGCTTGCTTTTCCATGGTTGATTTTTGGCAGGCAGCAGCAGCATTTGTGCACTGATTATAATTTTGTGATGCATTGTCAGTAACCAGGGTGTATAATGGATCTTCATCTCTAATTACTTTTCTCTCCACAGGTGTCTGGAAAGGGTCCAGATGGGAATGCGCACAGCATCCGCTTTGAGGGGATGGAGAGACAGTACGCCTCCTTACCCAGGTACATCACTCAGGGGTCTCCCATCTCCAGCTCACCTACCAATGAAGCCTTTAGAGAAATCTACATGAAATAGAAATCTGGCTTTGAAACTGGAATATGTTATAATTTGCCTCACTGCCGTCTGCTACAACCTTCGTGCCATCTTCACAACTGTGCTAATAATTGAAACACTTGTGGGTTATTTTTTAAGGGAAGAAAATAGTATATCTTTGCAATTGAACATGTCAGCAAGAATATTGGATACAGAATGGAAACCCTAAGCCATTGCTATAAAAATGGTATTGAACATCCTGCACCAAGCTTAGGGACAATAAAATAGTAAATCCTCTGTCCTAGCAGTTACCTACAAGGAAGGGCGAGCCAACCTTAACCTTGGAGCTTCGTGTGGGTGTTAAAAAGCAGGAGAGAAATGTGAACCTGGGAAGATATTCTTGCCTTGATTTAGAATCTGATCGGGTACGCTAGGCAGTCAGCAAATATTGCTGAGAGGCACAGACACAGTGCGGGAAGGAAACAATCGCGTGGGAAAAGTTCACTCGGTGATTCTGGCCCAACGTGATCCACTTATGCTGTAACCAGACACCCCTGAAAATGAGATACAATTCTCAAAGGCTTGTGCTCTTATCTGTGAGATGAAGAATAATTTTGGTCTGCTATCAGTAGCACATGACAAAGAAGAAAACTTTCCAAGATTATGTCTAGGATGGCTACTATGGGAGTGAATCAAAAGTGTGAGAATTCGTGAGTTCGGGAGGTGGGGGGGGGTGGTGTGGGAGGGGGAACAAAGAAAGGTTAATGCCAGCGAGAAAACTGAAATGTTACAGAATATCTCCTTTTAAAAGAAGGGGGAGGATCCTAAATAGAGCTTTTTCATCAAAGTGGAATTGTTGAAGTGCTATCCCAGAGGGCGTTACTGTGTTGAGTTTCACTTTGGCTTTAATTCAGTGTGGGAATTTACAAAAATACCATCCTGGATATTGAAACAGGCACAGCCTAAGTGACCATCTGCTCTTATAAATAGTATGTTGATTTTCAAAAGTAATAAAATCTCGAATCTAGTGGAGAACCAGTTTTTAACACCGATTGGGCAGAATGCTTAAAATACAATATTTTAAAAGCTTCTATACAACTGTATTTTATTTATCTCCCAGTTTTCCTTTTTTGTAGGTTGTCTCCTAGTCTTTTCTCATCTTTGATTTCTTCCCTCTCCTTATTTTTTTCCTGGCCTACTATTTTGTTTTCATTTTAAAAAAATGGAAGTCGTCTCCAAAATTTGTTTTAAATATAACATTTCTGGCTTTCAGTGTTGAAGTGTATGGAAATTGTGGTTAAGGCAGATGGAAAGTAGTATGTTCTTATGAGAGGGAAGAAAAAAAGATAAAACTGGAAACAGTTTAATGTCTTCCTGGCCAACTTGCACCAGACTGCGGAAATGGATTTTTTTTTTTTTTTGGTACAAATCAAAAGCACAGAAATAACATTGAAAATTCTATAATTTTCACTCATTCACTCCCCATCTATCTGTTAGTCATCTACTCTGCTTCAGGCCCGGAGAATACGGAGACTGGGGACACAGGACCAGTCTGTCTTCGGGACCCTACTGCCTAGAACAGGAGATGGCAAACCACCTTTTTAGGACAGTGCAATAAATGCTTAGTTTAGTAACTATTAGCAGAAAGACTTCTGAATTTCCAACTCCTACTTAATTTTACTAATACGCCCTGAAATGCTCAATCATGGCTGACTTTCAACAGGTCTATTTTAGGATCGAACCCTGCAAAGGGAGTCTTCTCACAACGGCAATACATATATGCTGTCTGTGGCTCTGGAGCTATCCCCTCAATGTGGGAATTGACCAAATCCTGCCGGCCCTGAGAATATAGCCGTAGCTGGAAGGGAAGCATCTTAGACCAAAAGCAAATTTGGCCAATAGTCCACTCACACCCATACGCGATGGTAGGAGTGATTAACTCCATGAGCAAACAGAACTTGGTAGCCACCTGGCATCTAGAAGTTGGCCACGATGGACAATAAATGGGGCTCGGACAAATGCCAGAAAGGTCCCTGGCATTTGTTTTGAAGTAGAGGAGGGCCATCTCAAGTAGAGGAGTTTTCATCTCAGCATCTACAGGGGAGATGCAAAGCATCCTCAGCACTGTGCTCCGGCCCGTGGGAGGCCCCGTGCTTACCCACCAAGGTGCACAGTGCTGAGGCAGGGGTCTGCTGCTGGCTTCAGGAAGCTATGCAGACAGCTCTGCGTGCCAGTGACATTTACCCTGGTTGTCTAGTCCTCCCTGCCCTGGAGAGTTTACTGTTCTCTTGACTGAATCACAGCAACTCCACTGCTCTCTCCCTTTGCCAGGGGAGGGAGGGAAGCACATCTCTAGGCACCGGATCCCCTCTTTGTCGTAGAGCCAGGAAGCTTTAGAATATTTATGGAGTTAAAATTTTAATTAAAAATAGGAATACTTCAGGGCACCTGGGTGGCTCAGTCGGTTAAGCGTCTGACTTCAGTTCAGGTCATGATCTCACGGTTCATGAGTTCAAACCCTGTGTCGGGCTCTGTGCTGACAGCTAGCTCAGAACCTGGAACCTGTCTTTGGATTCTGTGTCTCCTACTCTCTCTAGTCTTCCCCTGCCCATGCTATCTCTATCTCAAACAAATAATTTTTTTTTAATAGGAATATTTCTATCTATGGGAAGTTGGTGGCCGAACTTCCAGTGGACTAAATAGGCTACTGACCGATGTGGTTGCCAGGTGGTTTGTGGAGAGCATCACAGGAGTTTTTAAGTTAATTTGGTAATATCGATTTATGTGTCAAATTTGGAACCACTGACACCCAGAGAGAAAATGCACCTCAGGCCACCACCCACCCCACCCCTAAGGCATGGAGTGAGTTAGTAGCCCTGGTCAAGGGGCACCCTGTTAAGTGTTCATGGGATTCAGTCATCTTTAAAGTAGGCTCCTGCAACCTGCTGCCAGAGTATAAAAGACACTTCAAAAAGTAAAGCCAGAGCCCTAGCGAGCCCAGAAAAAGACAATTCCTAGCACTTGGTAGTTAGGATGTTGCCTAAGGCTAAGGGCTAAGGATGTTAAGTATTACTGTTAAGCAATGTTAAATCTTCTGCCTCTGAAGGAAAATGACTTTATTTCTTGTCTCCTGAGGGTGCTGTTTTAGAAAGCAGAGGCAGGTTGTGATACAGCCTTGTTAGCAAACACCAGGCTGTTACCAGGACCAGTGTTTTACCATCCTGTCCGGCCCCCAATTTTCTCTGGTAGTAAACACAATGAAATCAGCATTCCCTTATTCTTGCCCGACACAGATTATTACTCACCCTGAATAAGTAGGGAAACAGCCGTTTCTTCGGATGCTGTAATATGTGAACATCAGTGTATGTATTTCTGCAAACAGCTGCTTTTTCACTTCAGCCTCCCAGCCCCAGTCTCTTTCCACAGGCCTCTTTGTGGTCAGTCCCTCTAGCAGTGAACTCGCTACTCACCCCAAGCCTCCATTGTTCCCACCTGGCCCATCCCCGTGGGATCCCATTATCCCTTCTCTACAGATGGTTCACTGCGCCGGCACATGATGCTGCTCTTCCGGGCTTATAATCAAGCGGTGAGTCCTAAGGAGTGAGCAGACACATCTCTTCTGTGGTCCTCTCTATGGGGGCGGTGAGGGGTTGCTGGAAAACCTCTTAAAAACGCCTTCATTGGTTCCACTACAAAACGCACAGTATGCAACCCCAGCTGGGCCCCTGCTGCTGTCCAGAAGTCCTGGCGGTCGTGCTGTCTGTCGACTCCCTTGACTCTCCCACAGTGGCCCTTCCAACCTTCTTCTACTCCCATTAAATTCTATGAAAATGACTAAACCCCCCCCCAAGCCCAGTCTCTAGAGATGACCTCACTTCCTCTCCTCTATGACCATGAGACATTCGACATGAGCTCCTCCACTTCTGCCCCCTACAATTCGGATTCGCTGTCTTCACAGATCACACTTCCTTAGGAGTGACAACAAGGGTGTGGACTTGGAGTCGGACCATAATTACAGCCCCAGCTCTGTCACTTAGCACCTGTGTGACTTGGGGCACGTGATCTAACTGCTCCAGTCTCAGTGTCTTCCTCTGCAAGTGGGGATGATATGAGGGCCTGTGTGTGGTGCTGGTGTGAGTATTTGGTATAAGCAAAACCCTTAGTGAAGAGTCGGCCTGACATACTGTAAGGATTTTTTTTTTTTCATAGCGCTAGCTCTTTTTAATGTTATCTCGGGGGAAGATGTGTTTCTTTAGTGAGTCAAATCCATACAACAGAGCTCATTCTCACTGGCTTCTCGGGGTCCTGCACCATCAAGCACCCCCCTCAGCTGCATCTTGCAGTCCCTTGGCATTTGCTTCCTCCCACACACACACCCATCACCACCTATTACTCTAAATGCATAGGCTCGGCTGCACAGTTCTCTAAGAGCCCACAGTGTGGACGAGGGGAGAGCCATCACCTGCGTAGCTCTCTGCTGGGGGTATAACTGAGACTAAAGGATTAGCCAACTCAGGAAGGACCAGTGGTCCAGATGGTCAAAAACAAGAGTACATAGCAAACCGGTATGATCTGAGGAACAAGCTGTGCTAACGGGCATGCTGGGAAGATAGTAATTCTTGTGGATGGGGAGTTTCATATGAGGCTCAGGTGGCAGGACTACCCCATGCACTTGACTCTAGTCCATCAGAGAAAACAAATACCTCTTTTTGTTCTCAGATTTCCTGCCTTAGGAAGAGTGGTTCATACCTGTTGGCTCTATTTCCACGCCACCCACTGACATGGTGGCCTCTAGCCCAGGCTTCTGACACTGATGTTTCCAGCTGATTCTGCATCTAGCTCCTTTCCTAATGTAGATTCTCTCTGAGCAGCTGCCTTGATTCCTACAGATTCAGTTCTCACCACTAGGATGATAACCCCATGGCTAACCTTCCTATCGTACTCTTAATGTGACCCCAGTTACAACTGC